TCTAGGACTGCTGAGTTTTATGGTCTTCCGAAAACTCATAAGCCAGGTAACCCTCTGCGTCCGATCGTATCTGCCTGCGGTGATCCACTAGACAAACTCTCTTGGTTTTTACAATGCATCTTGACACAAATTCTTTCATTCATTCCAGCGCATTTAAACAACACCCAGTGTTACCTCGCACGCCTCAAAGATACCTTCCCGAACGGCCTTCCACCTGGTAGTATTCTTTTCAGCTTTGATGTCAGCAACCTATACGGAAGTATCCCCATCCAACAAGGCATAGATGCTGTTTTAAGCCTTATAGAATCAAACTTAGACAAGATTAACACTTTCAATTTGACGTTGAGTGATATCCGTTCCCTTCTCAGCCACGTCCTCACAAACAACTACGTGAGGTTCAACTCAAAACTTTTCAAACAGACCACCGGCATCGCTATGGGCAATAGGATAGCCCCACCAGTAGCTATAGCGTTTATGCATGTTTTTGAAAGCACATTTCTATCTTCTATGACACAAGTCCCCGCATTTTATGTGCGCTATATTGACGACATATTAGGAGTCTGGACTTATGGTATCGACCGCCTCAACCATTTCTTCAACCTGATGAACACCCACAACCCGGCTATTCGTCTCACAATGGATCACACAGGACTGACAGGTACACTATCGTTCCTAGACACTATGATCACCGTACACCCTTCAGGTACCTACACCACCGAACTGTATTTCAAACCGATGGCTGCACCGATCATCCTACACTACACCTCTGCTCATCCCATGTCGACAAAGAAAGCGGTACTCAACGCAGAAATTCAAAGGGCTATTCGAGTCTCTTCAGACAAACCCGCTACAGAACGGAGTATCGAGATCATTTCACAATTGTTCAGCAAAAATGGATATCCTATGAGCCTTATCAAACATTCAATTAGGAAACAAAAGTACAGCAAAGGAACCAAGAAAACACGTACTCGTACTTTGGCCAACGAAAACCAGATCTACATGCGTTTACCTTACATCAATGAGACGATCGTACGCCGAGTAAACGGCATTATCCGCGGCTCCAAAATTCCTGTCAAGCCCATTTGGATTAATGACAACTCGATTCAAACAAAACTGATCTCCTCGGCCCTTACCAGACCACCCTGCCCATCCGGCAACAAAAAGTGCCATACTTGTGAAAATGGACTACCGGGGAAGTGCACCACAAAAAGCGTAGTGTACAGGATAGTCTGTAAGCTGTGCGAAACTACCCAACACGACGAAACTTATATAGGAGAATGCACCAGACCAGTCCGGTACCGATTTAACGAGCACCTGAGCGATGCACGTTTGCGTAAACTAGACACACCATTAGGGGACCACACGCTACATGCTCACTCTCAGCTTCCCAACGAGGATCTCAACAATGCGTTTAGAATTGAGATACTGGATAGAGGTAAGGACTGTGCTGACATCAAAATTAAAGAATCACTTCACATACGCAATCTTAAACCTAGTTTGAACACCATGCAAAGCTCTTGGCCACTGACTAGATAGTTCATTTCATTCGCCACGCCCCGCACAACACACAAACATCAGGACCACACTCTTCATCACCCTCTACCCTTACAAGTCACAACCCTCTCCTTTACACACACACCCGCACACACACACACACTTAACACACTCAAAGGTACTCAATTGTAATGCCAAGCACATTCTTTCGGACGCATGAGGGTACCTAGGCTGGAGTCTCGTATTTGTTGCTGGCTAGCCCTGTGATAGCCTTGTCGGCCCAGCACTCTTCTACCTATCAGATATCTAGATGTGAACGATATCTTTCGTGCCTCTCGATTCTTTAACCTATTTGTTTGCCTTTGTACACTTCTACATATGTGCTATAAGATTTATGTTCGAAATTGTCCGTGTCAAGAATGTATGTATCTGCATTGCGATATTCCCACCTAACATTGAGCGCGTGATAGACTTTGAATGTAGCTAGAATTTTTAAATGTCATAAAACAATGAATCTGATGATGCTGTAAAGCGAAAGCTCATTCTCATATTTGGCCTATTTTACAATAAAAGTTTTACATTTCTGCCATGTTATTGATCATTTTCACATATTTATATTTATTGCAGAAAAACTGTTTCCGAAAAAATCGGCTATTTTTGCAGTTTTTGACCCCTGCAGGCAAAACCGTTGACGGTAGGTCAAATCTGAGAGAATTACTCAGAAAAGGCGTTAAAGGGACAGTATCATCGAAAAAAATCCATGCATGGAGCTGATTTTTTTTTTTTACTAGCATTTCTTATTTTTCTGAATCAGAAAAACATAGTTTGAGGACCGAACTCGGTGAAAAATATTGCAACCACATTTCATTTTCATGATTCATTTTCATGAGCGAACCACCACTATACAAGCATGGCCGCCAGTTTGGAAGCATGCAAAATTACTACAGAACTGGCGCAGATAATACATTATTGACGCTACGCTTACGCGGTCGTTCTTCTGATTGAGTTGTCCTTAGGGAGAGGTAGCCTTAGGTATTGCCTATAAAAATATAACGTGACAATTGGAGGGAGTGACAATTGGACGTGACAATTGACAATGGGAGAAAACATCACGTGACAATCACGTGATAAACGTCATACATTGGAGGGAGATTGTGATTCAAGCTGGAGGAATTCCTTTGTTGAGCCGCTAGAATCCGAAGGAAACAGCGGAAATTGCCTACGACTATTTAATGAATTTAACGGTGATGAATAAGTGCGAAAAACGTTTTGGCTTTATAAAATTTGATGAAATGACCAGGGTAAAAGTTTTATTACTGGCGGTCAATTCAAAACGGCGCAAACATTTAAACAGTGAAGATAGTGAAGCACGATTCAAAGTGTGGTACACCTTTCGTACTTTGAGCGGCGATAGCGGGATAACGGTGTGGAGCTTCGAGGATCGGTCTTCAGTTCCCGGACCAGAAAGGTGGGGCCTATGCAATGTCAAATTTCATCAAAATGGTGATACTGTCCCTTTAATAGGGCTATCGAATGCGCTTTTCCGCGGCGCTGTAGCTCTATTGGTTCCCGAGTTATGCGTTGGCTTCTCGGAAACTTTCGACATTCGACCTGGAAATCGGCGAAATTTTGCCTTCATTGACCTCTGCTGACCTGACCTTTGACCTGACCAAAAAATTGACCGAAGTGATTTCGTCATTATTTTTGACGCTCTTTCGAACGCCGCCTTCTGCGTATCGCTACGTGGCCCAGGAGCCGAGTTACAAGGGGGGGGTGTTCAAACACCCCCCCCCCCCCCCAGCAGGGCGTGGAAATCCAGGACCCCCAGCCGGGCGCGGGTTAAGAGGAAACAATTATTTACCTAGTTCGGTTTGACAGTACAAGGCGTAAAACAATGTGGTATTCAAAATAGCCTTGTTATACAAATACAGAAGCAACGTGTACCAATCCCATCGCCTTTTTTTCTTCCACCCGTATTTAATTGATCGCATAGGGGATGTACTGAGTAGAAGCCGGAGCCGGAGCCGCCGGAGCCGGAGCCGGAGCCGATTTTTTTCTCCGGAGCCGGAGCCGGAGCCGTCTGAAATTTCCACGGCTCCGCATCCCTGGTGGCAACGGAACTAGTTATGATGCGGAATGGACGGCTCAGTGGCTATAATTGACCAATGTTCAGTCGCGGGTTGTTAGAACGAAGTTCTGTGCTTTTCTCAAAAGTTTTAATATGTGAGATGGTGCTTTTTGCCATGATGAAGAGATGCCAATATGTAAAAATGATCCATAACATGGCAGAAATGTAAAACTTTTATTGTAAAATAGGCCAAATATGAGAATAACCTTTCGCTTTACGGCATAATCAGATTCATTCTTCCCCTTTCTCTGCAAACTTTGCAGCCTTTTCCCAAAGGTTGCACTCAACGTTTCTATCGGTTTAACCCGCGCCGGGCCGGTGCTTGGCGCCAACCGCGCCAGGCCAAGGGTTTGAACTAGTGGTGTCAATCGGAACTTGAATCTTCGGAATTCCGATTTTGCCCAATGCCCAATTCGGAATTCGGTTGGACAATGAGAGCAGGCTTTGGACAACTTTGGGCAATCGCTTGTTACACCTCAACATTTTTATAAAGTAATCGTGTTTAACATTGATTGGCAATTAGAAAGCTCAGCTTTCGATATGATTACCACTTTTGAGCTGGTAACGATACATTAAAAGCAAACTAAATAACGGTGTTGAGTGTAAACTACTGCGTAGATGTCGGACATCTTTGGACAAATGGTTGGCTTGGACATTTTTGGACGGACGGTCGACGTAAGTATTGGACATTGGACAGACATTGGACATATGTTTTCTGAAATTGACATCACTAGTTTGAACACCCTCCTTCTCCCTAACTTTGCTCCTGAGCCAAGTAGTGACATGCGGTGAGCGGCATCCGAAACGGCGTCAAAGATCACGAAGGAAGCACTCGGTCATTTCTCAGGTCAGTTCAAAAGTCGAGTCAGCGAATGTCATCAAAGGTCATATTTTGCCAATTTCTACATTGTGTTCAGTTACAACTGTTGAACTGATCTGAGAAATGACCGAATGCTTCCTCCATGATCTTTGACGCTCTTTCGGATGCAGCTCACCGCGTGTCGTTACCTGGCTCAGAAGCCAAGTTAGAGGGGGTGTTCAAACACCCTTGGCCCGGAGCGGTTGGTGCCAAACACCGGCCCGGCGCGGTTAAACCAATAGAAACGTTGAGCACAACTCTTGGGACAAGCACAGAACTTCACTGCATAGCAACCCGTGACTGATCCTTGGAGTGGGTTGGGAACTCGATTTTTTTTAAGCAGGTACGAAAATGATCAAACTATTTTCACAGAGTTTATGGTGCATACAATTTCCTAATAAAATCAATATGCTGAGAGAAATGGGGGAAAGAAAGAAAATATTTTTAAGCTTCTTGAACAAGACGCCGTTGGTGCATTTACCTCATTTATTGGACTCTCATGCTGATCGCCATACTCACGGTGTGAAGGTCTCTTTTGAACACCACCAATGTCACAATGCTGACAATCATTGCTTGTGGTAAAAGGCTGAACAGGCACAGTGTCTTGCCAATGAAGTCGCCTGACAGGAGAAACAAGGGAGATATGTGAGTGTCACAGTGACAGTTTTCACACCAGGCAGGGCAATGGAGTCGCAGGTAGGGTACAAGCACCCGCGGTTTCTTCTGTAGGTACACATTGTATATTACAACCTTAGAAATGTACTATTATTTGCTAGCTGGGGCATTCCACGATAGATCGTACCAGGCCCGTCACCCTCATCTCTCAGATTTTAATGAAAATCGGGCCTAGGGGTAATCATAGTCCCCAAAGACGCCTGGCAAAATATCAGACTTCTCAGATCAAAACTTTTTGAGTTATATTGCATTACATTTTTCTAACTTCGGTTTGTAACGGTGAGTTTGATGGCCTATAACTCAAGAACGGGTTATGCAACCAACAAACGGGAAACAACACTAAGCTTGCGATGAACCAAAAATTGATATTACTTTTGAAAAAATCTAAAGAAAAATTTTGATTGTTGAACAAAAACCTTAATCTTTTTTCATTGGCCTCTAATGACTTTTGAGACCAAAATTTTTCACATTTTTATTTTTCAAAATAAACTTCATGCCATTGCAAATCGACATGCAAAAAATTAGAAAGGTGTTCTTTCCATAAGTTCCTCATTTTCCCGCAAACAAAATGGGTTTCGGAGGGGTTGATACGACCCCAGCACGCCGTTTTGCTTCTAATAGAGGTAGAGCCTCGCGGAAAAAACGAACGTGTGTGCCGTTACAAGTCGCAGCGATTGGTACCCAATTTTAAGGTCTCAGGTTAACCGGTAGCGTCTGAGGTCAGGTCAAGTGACTGAAGTTACGGGTTCGGTTTTTAGTAAATAACTTCGCAAAAAATGGCCGCAGAGCCGCGATTTTGGCATCATTGTGTTCGCCTAGCTCAGGTGCGTCGAATGGTATACTTTTTGTTAGGGTGAGGTCAACTTAAGTAGTTGACCTCGGGTCAAGGTCAGGTCAGAGCCCCTCAGGTCACGAAGCTGGGCATTCCATAGTAATTTGTCTCATATCCTTCATAATCACCTCGGCAGAATAGCCACAGCACCTACTTGTGGAGTCGTTGTATGTCTAAATAAATAAAGGGTATCATACGGCATATCATTCGATTCGGAAGGTCTTCCCGAGTCCATTGGTGGCTTTCCCGACTCTCTAGCTCAATTTGATCGGGAGTTATTGACGAAAAACTCGTACGACCCTAGTGACGTCATAAATGACGTCACGCAAGGTTAACAATGCAAAAGTGAAGCATTGGACTTTGCAAGGAGTGCATGAAATCACGATACCATGTACGTGAGATAGTTTTAGATCATTATCGGCGCCAAAATAACAGATTTTATATTTCCCCATTGACTTATAACAGTGATGTCACGTGACTCATGTGACCTTCAAAAATTCCCAGATAAATAAGTTGTGGGACCTCTGGAGGACACCATGTATGCGTCCTGTAACTTTTATCTCGGACAGCTGTGGTCATTGGCGTCCAAAACAATGTCAGAACCAAACAGCCTTTTTCACTCTCGCGCTTATAGGAAAGAGGGTTGGATGAACCCTCTTTTCATTTTTTCAGATGACTAAGACTTCAATTGAAATTTCAGTAACCCGTGATGTCACTAGGCAGCTTTACCACGCCATTTGTAAGCTCCCCTCCCAAAATCACTATTCGAAACCGTTATCGTGACGTAAAATAAATACATTTATAGAAAGAACACCTTCCTAATTTTTTGCACACTTCTTAACAATGAGCTAAATATTTTTTTAAAGAAATAAAAATTCAAAAAAATTTGGTCCCAAAGTCCAAAAAATACAAATGAAAGAAAACTCGATATGTCATATATCAAAAATAGCGTTTTTTTCGAAATTTCAAAAATACATATTAATCTCTGTTTCATTGCAAGTTCAATGTTATCTAACATTTGGCATTTGAATAATCCGTCTTAGAGTTACAGCCCGCCAAACTTAGCCCTGCAAAGCAAGATCCAAAAAATGTTATACGCCATAACTCAAAAAATACTTATCTGATAAGCCTGAAATTTTTACAGGTAGATTCAGAGCCCCTGATTACCCCTGAGACCAATTTTCGTCAAATTCCGAGAGATGAGGGTGTCAAATTGAAAAAAAAATGGTGCGATCTATCGTGGAATGCCCCAGCTGGTGGCCATTGGAGAAAGGAAAGGTAGCGCAAAGTACGGAGGAATAGCACACGTTTGATCCTAGGATGTAGGTTATGCATAATTCTTTTTTATTGTCATAAATATTCTTCCGAAACTGCATTCGCGCTATTTTCCTGAGCTGGTTGCCTCCCTAGACCCCGTCCTTAGTATCGCCACTTGCTTACGCTCCCGATACGCGAAAGAAAGTCACGTGACAACTACGCGTTTGCGCTTAGTACTAATACGCCTAGCCCGAGGGCCCTCGAGGGCCGGTCCGTAGCGGGGAGGGGGTAGAACGCCAGAGCTCCAGCGCAATGGAGGTGGTAGTGGCCCGTGTCATAAAAAGGTAGGCGTGCGCAGAAAGACCAATGCCCCAGTATAAGTTGAACCTTCCAGGTGGTGGGGGAGCCATTTTTCGCCCCCCCCCCCTCCTTTAGCCTTTTCGATATATCCCCAGAACCGCTGCGCCGATCGTCACCCAACTTTCAGTACCCTCCCGGGCATAACTTTTACACATTGTTACCATTTTTTTCAAAAGCTATGACAGGTTGGCCGCTAATGACGCCGGAGTGACGTCATGTTCTGCCATTTTCGACCCAAAAAAGGTTTCGCGAGAAGAGCTGTCAGGTCTACGGCTTTGAAGATACAGAAAAATGTTTCAGACATATACATAACATGTGTAGAATCGATATGTCTATAAAACTGCTATCTCAGATTTTTGAAATTTTTTGATTTTGACCCCCAAAAATCGAAAAAAATAAAAAAATCGAATTTCGAAAAAATGGAATATCTATGGTAGTACCCAGCCCCCGTTCACAAGCCTCAGAATTCCTTTACCGTGACGTCACGCGGGCTACAAAAATCCCTTCACCCCATAACGATCTACAGGGTGTCCCAAAAGTTCGTTCTCACATTATGTTTGCATATGAAACTGAGTACATTGCGTTTTGACATGTTTATGACCCCTCAATGTGCTCCCCATTTAATAGGCAAACACATGAATACATGCAGCGGCATGCCAACCGGCATGTTCGGCTGCATAGCAGGCTTTAAGTTAACCCAGACTGACTTGACATGCGCCGTGAGCTCCTCGAGGCTGGAACAGCGCTACGCTTCGACGAGCCTCAATTTCAGCATAACCAACAAATTTTATGAAATTTTGATCCGATGAAGTGCCTGGCATGTGATCTTGCCACAAACGCCTGTCACAGTCTCCTTGCACCGCTTTTAAGCTTTGCTTGACCTGTGCACTGATGCACTGTCTTGCCTGAAGACGGGCCTACGACCTCCCGGATGCCATTTTCTCCTCCATAAATGTGTTCATACTCGCGGTCCGAGTTCAGGTTGAGGGCTGAAAATCCTCCTAGCTAGATGTTCTTGGAAAAGCATTCTGCTTCCCAAAACTGTTTCTGGGTTGTCACTTGCAGCTTGGTCAACTCCAGAAAGCCTATAATCCCACAACACAGTGACCCTGGCCTTTTGCATAGGAGCATAACGGGACGAAACGGAGGCCTCCTCCTTCGCCCTTATGGGGTTGTTTTCGGGTTTGGACGGGTGTTTCATCTCGAACGTGGACTAGTTAGTCCAGATGACCTGGTTGATGTCATCAGCCCTCTAGTTTGTTTAGCCTAAGGCATAACGAAACTCATGTTTGGCCATTTTAAGACGTTTTTGACTGTTATGTGCCCTCCAGTAAGCAAAGCTCAAGTCACCTTGAGTTATGTACCCCGAAAGAACACTCTTAAACAGCTGGTAATCCATCCTGAAAAGTCTGCTTACCAACTTTCTAACCCGTTGACCTTTTTGATGGCCACTTTGGCGCCACACAGTTTTGGCCACTTGGCTCACTCCTGAGGGCTGACTGGAAAGAGGATAAACTTGCAGTGATTGACTCCCGACAAATCATCGGCGTCACTTGCTGACTGTGAGTCCAGTTAGCGATGGACATTGGCTGCAGCTGGTAGGCCTCAATCACCCTCAATCGTCGCGAATGGTCACGTGCTGACTAAATACTGAGACGTACCCGTATCAGAGACATCTATGTTGCGGCGTTAGCCGTCTCTGTAGGAAGCGGGCTCTCTAGCAAAAACTATTTTGTCTACAGAAATTAGCTACTGTGGAGCATATTTCTACTAGCCATGGCAACCACGTAAGCTCAATTACGAACCAGTTTCAGTGTGTCTTTAAGCAAGAGAGCCTAAAAACGTAAAATTTAGGTGAGAACGAACTTTTGGGACACCCTGCATACAAATGATGCCGAGTTTTGAGCTGGACTGACGCCAAAGTAGAGGACTAAAATATTATAAAAAGCATACCATTTGACTCAGTGGGGCTTGATTTATCCAAAGGCCTCAGTAGGTAGAATTCGAATAAACTAAGCATAAATTTTGCCTTTTAGCAGGGCCTCGGCTAACATGTTAACCCGCGAGTTGCTGGGGGGGGGGCGTTAAACGCCCCCACTTTTTTCGCCGGGACATAGCATAAAAACGGCGCGCCGCAGGCGCGCCAAATTTTGGGTACCTGTAGGGAATTGATTGAAGTTTATTGTGACAAAGTTTCAAAAAAAATCGGTCGGAAAAAAATTTGAGATATCGAGGTTTTAGTGACGTCATGATTTCTGAGTTTTCGACCAAAAACGGCATATGTTCAAAAAATCATATAAAATCACAGAATAGACATACAGACATGCCGTAAACGCCATTAGACTGCCAATACCATGATCAATCAAATGGCTATCTTCGATTATTGATTATCGTTCCGCATTTTCCATAATCTTGAACTGAATCTTGGCAATTTTTCGTGACTACTTCGCGACCATGATACATGCATTTCTTAAATTGAACTTTTTGAGCCAAACA